TGTTCTGGGCCTCCATCCCCATCGCCTCCATCAGATCATTCACACTAGTGTCGACTTCAGCTTTCGTACCGTCGACTGGATAAGTTTGCCTTAGTCTTCGTGACTGTGAAATGATTTAAACGACGTAGATACTCTTCTCTTTTCCGCTGCTGTGATTGCACTTCTTTGTCACCTACATCTCTTCGGAACTTCTCGACAGTACTTCTGTCAGGATATATTAGGGGTTTGAGCCTACAGACATTGGCATCTTACCACCTAATACCTCTCTCACATGCCAGAACACTGAGAGGAATCTATGGTTGTCGGCGCAGAACAGCGAGACTCCTATCTAAAGTTGGCTTCCTGACGGGAAGAGGGACGCAGCTGATTGGAGAAAATTCTTCAGTGGTGTACTGTGCCGCTTATTTTCATGCTCAGTTCAAGGGAGGGGAACGTGAACTGCGTTCAGAAGGGCGCGTTTTGTCATGCGGCGCTTAAAGACATGTCGGCATTAAAAATTGCACCCCACTCGAAATCCGCAGTTGGACATTTTGGGACCGGGGGGAAGACCAGAGAAACATCTTGATGACCCTTACGACGTCCTTGCCAGAAGCCCTTACAGTGAGAATTTCAATTTGCTTGTTACTGACAATAAGGGAACATGTGATAGGCGTTACGTTGTCGAATATGGAAGCAAAGGCATTATGGTCGAAGAGTCTGGGCTTATTGTTGGGGCTCCCTTGGGATCTTCTTGACGCACCCAGAATAAAGTAACCACCGCGCAGCGTACGACAGAGTATCGCACTTACTGAAAATTTTCTGGAGAAGTTACTCAGTTTCAGTGTGAGGTGTATGGATTCAAAGAAGTTGGTGGTGTTTTGCCCTAAAGACAAGCATTTCATATGTAGGCAGCAGAGCACTTGTGCCGGAGAGCTGCTTTAAGAAGCACGTATGAATCATAGAATTCTAAGTCTTCGCAGCAGTGACGTTACACTCGAGGCTAAATAAAAGTGCAGTGCGCCCACCCTTATTAACCTCGTCATGTTCTCAGCCGCCAGCGGCCGAATGGAGTACTTCAGCACCGGGCGCTGCAATCTGCAGACGTTCAACTTTTCCAAATAATATGAGGCAAGTGCTTACTCCTTTTATAATGCTGCTAGTGATATGCAGACGACACAGGAAGTAATGCGATTTGGGAAAATCCTCGCATAAACTGGATGGAACTCCAGGAATCATCTGCTGCGGAAGCACTCACTCTAAGTCTTCCAAACCTATTTTTTGAACCGCAGGAATACGTCAATGAACTGGATGTTTTATTGCTGATGAAAACAGAAGCGATGGGAATATCTTCGAAATTTGTGTCTTCGGCCACGAACCCGAGAAGAAGCTGTTTCCTAATATATGCCTTTTAGGTCCCGTCGGGACCCAGAATATCAAGGCGATTATCAGGAATCCTCCGTGGGTCTATTGTAGCGAATAAAAGAGTTCTTCAGGCTTCCATTTTCAGAGGCAAGGAAAGATATCTGTCCACCAAACCTACTATGTGCCCCTGCAGCTTTTCACACCTGGCCATACTAAAATGATTAAAAAGGAAAATTCAAGTTACGCTGAGCAAGGGACGATTATGGATGCATAAGAGATCTTAACTGTTCAACTGTTTGCCACGGTTTTCACAAAGCCAGAAACATTAAGTTCAGTCTTATCAAATATTAGCAACAGTTTTATGCCCTCTAGTTCAACTTCCATCTGCTTCCCGGCACATAAGATATTGCCGTAATTCAGGGTTGCGAGGATGCCTGTAAGTCAACAACCACCAAGTCGCTGTCCCAAACTGGTCTACAAACTTAGCGAGCACAAGATCGTTTCAGGGGTAATCAGTGACATGTGCACTGGAAAAAAAGGGAACTGACCTTGTCACCACATCGTCAGCGTTCACTAGCCCTCCAACACACAAACTTTACGTAGAATCTTCCACCACCTCTTAAGTACGAACTTTGCACATTGTTGTGTGTGCATTTCTGCTTCTCATGCCCTTTTAAGGCATCTTCTAGAGATTCTAGCCACAGATACGCGGTGAGACAACAATGCCCTGTAAATAGAAATTAATTCTTTTCTATAGACCTCTGAAAGGCATTTTTGCTCATCGTGAAAATTATAAGACTCTTCACAGGTGTGTTTGACCCAGTAGTACCGTTTAATTTTCTACCACAACCTAAGTGGGATGGTTTATCATCAACTTCGACTGGAAGACAAATGATATACTTAGTATGAAGAGGGAGTCGAAGATGTGATGACTACGTTCGTTTAAGTGGAGCACCAGTTTCAAGTTTAATGCCTTTCTCAGAGCACTTTTATCGGGTTCCAGTTGACACGCTTGTTTGGGTTTTCTTTATCCTTCAGTCAGTGCTTATTTGTTGGGAGATCATCGTCTTCCACCGTTGCCGGAATATTCGTAAGGAATCTTGGACACACTACAGTCAGTGTGAACGACATGGTATGCGTTCGTCTCCATCATTCCGACCTAAACTAAACGGTTGTTTTGACCAGCTACGGCTACTGGCACTGAGTGCCAGCTAGATAGCTTACTTAGGTTCTGCCGAAAGTTGATAGCTGTTAACATTTTCATGTGTTGTTACCGTAAGCTGCTTTGGAGCCAACACCACTTAAAATTTCGATGCTGCCAAATTTCACCGCCCACTGTTATGGCGGGATAAATCATGGATTTGCTGCGTTGTTTTAGTGACCCGTGGCCTCCAGTTCATAAAAGGGTCTCAAGAGGGTTGCATAACTCCCTTGTTTCCGAATCCAAACATTTAGGTTTTCCGTTTAATAAATGCAAACTGGAAACAGGCCTGCAAGAAGTATTCAGTGATTTATTAACCTTAGCTACCGGGTCGTCAACTCCGGCTGACTGGAGTGCCATTACAATGGTATACACTGACTGCGGTAGTTGGGAAGGAATAGTCAGTGGGGAGCGTCACCACCGAGTGTTCTGCAGTCAGTTACTTCTTCATGGAAGCACGCCAACAGCTGAAGTGTTTCCCAGCTTGGTGTCGCAAAACGATCGGTTCAAACATTAGTGGTCTGCCAGATCACCTTTCTTCATGTTTGTCAGAATTAAACACGTGCCGTAATTTAAGCATTGAGTTACCATAGTCGTTTTCGTATAACACGAAGAAATTAGGAGTGATGGTCTGTGACGCACTTTTGTCATATATCGGCCTCAACATATCTGGACTAAGCCCACATATTGTCTGGCAAGAATTAGGTGGATGAGATCGAGTGCGCTATCAGAGTAACGCGAGCACGTTTGGGAGTCTGACCACACATGAATACGGAGACTTATAACAAATAGCAGTAGATAAACGTCATAAATATAGGGAAATCCGCCTAAATATGGAGGAGAATGAGCTCATAAGCTTGGGAATATTCCTTGTGTGATATTCGGAGACGCAAAAATCAATCAATATTTCATTGCATTTTTTGAATACCCATCGGTGTGAGGTCAAGAAAGAACATAATAACGTGGTCAGGCGCGAACCGCATATCTTATCATTCGCGCCAATATACCGAAATGCTTGGAGTGTTTGGCTGAGGTACCATCTACGAGCAACGTAAATTGATGCGAAAACTTGCCAACGGTGAAGATCTTTGACCTCGCCTCGTATTAGCAAGTCCGTTGAAAGTGCGACGGTCATCCTCATAGCTAAATGTCATCGAATGTTAGGCCGTAGATTTTGTGAAATTGTTTGCTACTACAGATCTTGGCTTCAGACAGTGAATACAAAATATGTGTCATGATTTCGGTATAATCAGATGGTTTTCAAAACAATTTGCAAGCACCACTCCATCAAAACCGATGGCTTCTGTTTCATCGTGCATGCGCTGATCAGTGTACTGAATCACATCAGTAACTTCACCAGCCTTCAAAAGCCAGCCTTAAGACCTCTGCTCAGAGGCTCCTAAGCCTGGGGCGTATTTTTCTTTCAGCTGGTGTCAGAGGACTTCAGCACACATTTCTTTGATTGCTGGACTTTAAAATGAGCAATTGGCCTACCAAACAGGGCACCAAATTTAGCGCCACTCAAATCATTCATTTATTTCTTCACGTTTCTGCTTGATTGTACGTATCATTCAGTGGGACAATTCCAAGTTAATTTTGTCGCCATTTCGGAGGATGGAAATTGGATGATAGCAGCGAAACTTATGATGACGCCTTAGGCAAGACAGCTCAGATGTTTCGAAAGGTTTATTCAACATTTTCACAAAATTTTAACTGGGGCGGAGGGCCGCATCAGTTGACTTCACCAAACTACTGCTCAGTAGGCAAGTGACCGCGAGTTAGTTACTACCAACATTCACCGGTAGCAAGTGAAAGTATGCCCATCCGTTCCTTTGTTCTTCAGCTGTAACATCTGCAATTAGACAGGTATCTTCCTCATACAATTGCTAGTAATACATATTTTCTGGGAGTACTTTTCATTCCTCTTAGCTTGTTACCTAGTCACCCCGTTTATCACAGCACCTTTCAAACAACGCCTTACGCTTACTTACAGATGCCCACAAAAGCAGAAACTGAGAAAGGTTAATTGGTCTTACCAGCGGCTACGTTGCTCCCACAAACAAACAAACCTACATTTTGAGAAAGAAAATCTTCAATCAATTACTATCCCCAAAACTATAAGTCGGTAGTCTGCAGGGAATTCTGCTACCAACGAAAGGGCATAACCGGACAAAAAGTAGCTAGCCTCAAGAAGTAATAGGGAAAGGTCAAAAACTACAAATTTCCTCTACTCACACCATTGATGTTCGATACTTGGCTAAGTTTATCCTAATCAGATGGAAAATTGGCTGTTTGACGGTGTCGAAATATCACTTGATCAGGCAATTAAAACATCAGAATGCATATGTGCAAATCCACTATCGAAATGGCATTGTAACAAGGTATGTGACATCATCCAATAGAGACTGAGACATTGTATAAGTGGCGCACACTTCAAAGGACGGTCAGCTGATTTTAGATGAGCTCTTGGACCGGTAAGGACCTTTATTTTCTTCCTTCTCACCGTTTTTCGTTTCAGTTACTCGTAGGGATGAAACTCAAGAAGTCGATTATGGATCGATGCATCTGAACGAAACTCCCACGTTATATGTAGGTTTTTTCAGTTTGACATAGCGTTGTATCAGGTCACAAAAGTTTTATTTCTTTGACGTACACTTTTATTTCAAACTAGCAGCATGTGAAAAACTCCCAGGTTTATTTGAAATCTCAATGATCTTGAAATCAGCACCTCCTGTCTATTTATCCTGTGCCCACTTAGCGAAGTTCAAATGTCTCCTGGTTTGATCAGTCTAGCTGCTAATATCTGTGGGTTGTTGTGAAGTATGTTAACCTTGAATACATACTCAGCAATGGTTATGGCTTTTGATACCATCAGGCTACTTCAGGATTTTCACGGGCTAGATTCACAGTTTGCGTAGGACATTAGGAGAAAATGATCACAGTATTGAATAATACTTTTGCCAGTCGGTCAAAATTGACGCAGAAGTTCGCAAAAAAGTGTATCGGCTTCAGCTTCCATACGTTAGTAGCATACAAAGAGCAGGTGGATAGGAGAAGTGATGTCAATGTCGACAGTTGTATGAGAGAATACACGATATGAAGATAACAATTGGCGCAAATATCTGAGCTTTAGAGGATTTTAAGGAGTGAATACATCTGCACCATTGTGACCGATTGCTAGTCATGTCACCTGGAGTTCTCAACCACTGCTCGGGTCCCAGCGAGGCACTTTTCATCTCATATTGCTCATACTAACAGTCAGGGATTTCATCGTTTTAGTCTGGCCACTCTGAACCTTCTCCCAACCTCAACCAACGTAGCCTGGCATTGCACATCGAGGTAGGCGGTAGCTCCACATGCTCGTCAATTGTCCAAGCCACTTCAGTCGACTAAGTTTTAACAATCTCACGAATCTACTTGCCTGTATTGCCTAATACTCTTTGCTTGACCTCGACATTGATCACAGGCGATGCCACCACACGCGAACAATGCTGTGAAGACATCTCTCACCAGGACTTTGTAGCCGCTTCATATCTTCTATTTTCAACGGTCAAAGCTGTGTAACAGAACAGAACAGATTGTGGTGCAGCATACTTGTCATTTGATAGATGGTCAGATATCTTACCAGTCAGTGCCACAAGTGATGCTTCCCATTCCGGATGATACAACTTCCCAAGTAAGTGAAGTGGTCAACATTTTCCACCACATCACTCCCAATCATTAAACTGAGAGTGGTTTCACAATAGTGTATTACTTTTCTCCAAGTAGCTCCCTTATTTGGCTAAATTGCGAAAACTAACAAGACGTGAATTTCAGCAAGTTTTTACGTAGAATGAATTTTCTGGCAAGCTCACTCTGAAATGTAATGGTTGTCTACCTATTAGTAGTTGGGTGTGATAATCGATCTCTTGAAGCCTTTTAGGATGACTTCATGACAGAGGCAAACGTTGCGATAAAGCTTTTTGATGTTCACTGTGATAGGGAATCGGTCCAGTTTTCAAAGAGGTTGAATTATTCGCAGTAAAAGTGCTTTTTTGTGGGAATGTGTAGCTAGTTTTTAAAGCTAGTTCATGGACGTATTAAAGTTTTGTTGTATTGTTTTTAAATTGAATTGGTGTTTCGTACTTCACTCTACTGACTTTATAAGTTGATTCAGTTTGATTGCTAGCTTCATTTTATTCCCACTACACCTTTTTTATTATCTCCTTACAATAAGCCTGTACAAACTTTACTCTCCATTAGTAAATCGAGGAATTTAGTTTTTCAGTAGCCTTTATTTTGAATGGAAGATAAAAGGGGTTTCGCCTCACATTGATTGCTTTCCTGCCCATGTGTTGCTGACCATAACTACTGTTCTCGTTACCTCTTAGATAATTTCTTTAACATTTCTTGCACCTGCTTCTGTCTGTTTAAGGTCGAAAATACTTTTCAAGATCACATATCAATCAAGAATCGATTTCATTATGAAGAACACTATTTAGGATTTGTATTCATCGTGCTTATGAATGTAGAGCTTTCGTTAGGATTCGCATTTTATAATGTAGTTACTTTCATTTGCATTGCTTTACTATCATTTGACCCATAAGTTATTACTGTGTAGGTTATGCTGATATAGGTTTAATTTATGGGTGACCTTCACTTCTACCAGATCGAGGTTTCATAATTATCTACACAACCATGAAAAATGTTCCAAGACTAACAAAGGCTAAATATGGCAATACTTGTCATGATTATCTGATTATCAACCATTTTACCACTCAGTATAGATAAGCGTCAATAGGAGTGGTTTCGCCCTTCGTAACTCTTCTAGGAATTTAAATCATACTATTTCAGCGTTTGCCATCTGGATCACCCGGTTGTTCTGCTCAATCGATTGCAACTGGGTGGCTTGAAAGGAGCCTTGAGCTTAATAATCTAACTTTGGTCGATTATCAACGACGTGTTCAAGAGCTCCGACGTTCAGTTCGTCAAGGTATTGATTCAGCTGCAACTTGTACAGATGGTGAGTTTCTTCAGTTTCGTGATAAAGTTTGTATGTCAATTTTATTTCCAAAAGTTGTCTACCGTTTATGCCTGGTTAATTATTATCTGTATTATTGTCCTTATTACCAGTCATTTTCAGCTTAATGATTCCTTGTTAATAAATTTTTATTTACCATCACCCATGTATTTTTAGTCATTTTTCAACATTGGACTGGAAATATACGCGGCACGATCTATTAAAATTTTATTTAATGTATAATTCTGCTCCTAAATGTATTACACTTTCGTTTTCTACGCAAGAATTGTTGTAAAATACGTGAAGATCAATAGCGGTACACTGCATTTTTCTCATTTCCCAGTGGCAGTCATTTTATACACTGACTAGTTCTTCATTCACTTCCGTGATATATTCCTGATTTTAAGTCTTTAAAGCTTTTGAATACTAGTTAATTCCTCGTAACTACTAGCTTCGATGCTTACGTACATAGTTTGTTGATGTAAACGGTAACTAGTTTATGTGACCCCCAATAGTAGGCACTGCACCGGCCCGATGTGTGCAAGAAAGTCGGAAAATACCAATATATGGGGCTGGAATTACTGTATAGTAGTCCGATAAAAGACAAGGAAACAAAGAAGAATGCCATCAAAATTGGTAGCAAGTCGTGATAAGACAGCATGAAAAAACAAAAAATACTGAATTCGGCATGAAGATTAGGATAAGAATGTGTTGATACATCAGCGCCATCTCGATCCATTCTCAGTCATGTCACCTGGAGTCTGCAACCATCGGTTTCGCGTGGACAACAATTAGGAAGCCTACATATCTTTGTATGACTCAGACAAACACCCAAAGACTTGTTGGACTGATCACATTTAACTATTTTTCAGCCTGAACCTACTTCAGCTAACATTGTGCTACAAGGCAGATAGACAAAATTAACGTAGAATCTGGCACACGTGCATCCGTTCAAGTTGCCACAAAAGACAGTGACATCCCTACAAAAGACTGATATCAAAGTAGACAAGAGTGTATGAGAATACGCAATTTGAAGATAAAGAACAATGCTATGACCGAAAACCTGTAACCGCTCCATATCTTCTATTTTTAACGGCCGTCTCGGCCGTATGGCAGGACAGGACGAACTGGAGTGCAGTATACTCGTCCTTAAATGGACAATCAGATATCTCGCCATCCGGTGCCAAATACAACGCACGTTGGCGAATACTATACAGTCCTCCTGTGTCCGAGCTAAGATTTTGTCAGCAATCATCCCTTTCGGTTTGATACAACTTTCCAATAAGTGCATAGGTCAACACATTTCACCACTTTACTCCCTATCCTTTATTTGGGAGTAGTTGCAAACCCGTCCTGTAGCACGATCTTGCATTTTGCAGACCCGACCGATAGCTTTCACATCGATGTTGTGTTTGGGCTTGCATGTTACAATGACTTGTCCAGCTGTGGTAGTGGAATGTTTGTTCCCTCGAGGTCTTACCATACCAGACATGTCTGTATGATAGTGGTCAGACAAAATACTGTTACCGTTAATGTGTTAACTTCCACGCTTTGGTGAGGGTCCAAGGGCGAAGTCGTCCCGCTGGTTGGATAGGTGTGTGACAGCTGTAGAGTGTTTCTCTTGGATGCCAGCAGTACCATTTTGATTCTACGTTCCCTATGGCAAGAGGGGTCGAGAAAACGTAGACCCTAAAAGTAGCACACGCCCTTCTACCTCGCAGCGTACTGGCGCCGGCGATATGGGTTCATAGTCGGAATCGAAACCAACAAGCTTAAATCTCAAACTTCCAAAAAGGTTGTGTTTTCGAGGGATGCGTACAGGACCCGATTGTGGTTGTTCACTTGGCCGCACCTAACCACTGGGGCAAATCTTCGAAGTTCACTTTACGAGCATACGGAGGTTCAATATCTCGTGGACTCGGTGATGTACGCACAGCACTAAGTTTTATCGCGTAAGTATGTTCCTCGACTGAATATCAGTCAGCAAACGTCTGTGTGTTGTTCAACTGAATGGATTTGTAAGGACTAGAAAGTATCAGGAGACTAGCCACCACCTACTCACCGACCAACTTCAGTCCATGAGGTATAGAAGATGAATCCTACCAGAAGGTGTCAATCTGACAACGGGAAGCTAAGTGTCCAGAGATAGTCATAACAATAGGTGACTTTAAGACTCAAGTAGGGAAGCTGAGCCAATCGGAAAGACATCTGGAAGGTATCTCCCGCATCCCATGCCAATAACGGACAGTGTTTACCGTCTGTTGCTAGTTTGTTCTCACAATCACTTGTTTCTGGCTAGCAAACTAACTAACGGTCTTAGTAATGTTCGTGGGCATTGGGGCGTAATAAAAACGAAAGAGACGGAGAAAACAGTGAATACGTCAGTGAATTTCCGCAGCCTCTCCCAAATCGGCTGACACGAAAATGCTGATCCTAACTAGCTCTGTTCACAGTGAGGGGCGATAATCGCAATGGTCTCAAGCAGTGATGGGTGTCAAAAACGAGAGAGATAGAGAAGGCACCAGCGATAGGTAATACATGGCAATTATTTAGGCTTATTTCGAATATCGGCAAGAAGACGGTGTTGAGTGAGGCCGTCACTGAAAAGGAAAGTAGCCTCTTAGGACAGGTGATTAAGACGTTAGGCCGAACACTTCGACTCCCAGTTCGACTGATTCACAGACACGCTTCAGTCGCCAGGCATCCTGCCCTAACCTGAATCGGAAGTAGATGTTGGTCCTCCAACTGCTTTCGAAGTCGGGAAGGTTGTTTCAAACCTGAAACGTTGGAAAGCAGTAACACCTGACAGTTTGTCACCAGAAGTTTATAAAGAAGGAGATTATTGACTGAAGTGATGGAGGTGCTAGGTAGCGTATGGAAATCAGAGGTAGTCCTGTCAAACTGGTCTTTTTGACTGATCATTCCCAGTGTATAAGAAGGGAGATAAGATTTTCTGTGACAAAAATGGGGAATCAGTTTGACTAATATTGTGTCCAAGATACTTGGATCCATGGTTATCCGACGCCTAAGTGGAACTTGAGAGAACCAGTCAGGTTTCAGATGTGGACGAGAATGGATCTATCATATTTTCACCCTTTGACAAGTTTTGACATACAGGCATACTTAACAGTGACGAACACTTGCCATATTTCTTGATCTGAAGGCGGTATTTAACTCTGTTGACTGTCAGGTGTTGTGACAGTGTCTAAATTTGAAAGGAATACTGAGCAAGTACATAACTCTAATCGAAGTTCTCTATTCGGACTCACGAAACCGTGTAAGAGCATACAGAGATTTGTCCTATGAGTTGATGACAACTAGTGGTGTACAGCAAGGATTCCTGCTGTCAACGTTGCTGTTTAATTTCCCTACGGATATACTAATGAACATAACCTTGAGCACCCCTGTCTTCAAAGGGGTTGGTCTACTTCTTATAGATCATCCGGTTGACGTGAATTATGCAGACAGTATTGTCCTACTAGTTGAATGCACTCACAAAATAGAGGGTATTTTGAACTTGTTGAACAGAAACTTGTGTATATTTGGCATGCGTTTCGCACCTGTGAAATAATGCTCCGAGACTGGTCTGCAACTACTCTCAGTTAAAGGATTAGGAGTGAAGTGGTGGAATACACTTACTTGAGAAGATGCCTCAGCCAGAACGGGATGATCACTGACGAAATATCAGTCTGGATGCAGAAGGATTGTATGACGTTTACCAGCTCGCATCATGTCTGGCGTTGACTGAAGAGTTATGCGAGTATCTGTTAAAGTGCGATTATACTGCACTTGAGTCCTTTCTGTCTTATTATACAGCTATGGGACATGGTTGTTAAAAGTAGAATATATCGAGTAAAAACAAGTTTTCGAATACAGGTGACATCGTAGCATTGTTCTCCTATGGTGAGATCAGCGTATGAGTCATTGCGAGCTATTAGGTATAGAATACTAGGCAAGGAAGGTAAGTTGACCAATGAGGTTGTGAACCGTCAGAGACCGAGGTAGTTTGGATATATACAGTGCATGCCGAGCCACCGCCTACCTCGACGTGCCATACTGGGGGACGTCAGATTAGGTTAGAGGAAGGCTCAGGGTGATCAGGCAGAGGCATGGTGCCAGTATATGAGGTCTCTAACTTCTTGGTGACAGCCGTGTTGGGAGGTGTAGACAGACTACCTACCTAGGTTCCCTGAGACAGTAGAAATGGGTGGTTGAGGACTCGTACTGACATGGTTGAAAATTAGTCACAATGGCGCAGATGTATTCACTCCCTGACATCTTTTAAACCCTAAATATTTACAGTAACAATTTATCCTCAAATGATATATTCTCTCCTGTGATATCAGTCTTTTTCCATCCACTTGTTCTCTGCATGCCGCTGTGATGTGCAACAACTTGAGCCTATGCACTCGCGTACTAGGTTCTACGTTGATTTTTTCTATCTCACATTTAGGAAGTGCGAAACGCGTTCCTGAAATTCTTCTCTAGGCTTTCAGATGACCTTTCGTTTTGTCAGTGTTCATTTAACGAAACTGTCGTCTTTATACTCCAGGTCTGCCAAACACTATCTCGGGAGGGCTGCGCTATGGCTTATTTGTTTAAGGAGGTGACTCTCAACAATGGATCACAGGTACGAACCCCGCTCCACCTACTGAGGTTTGGGAAGCAAGATAGTATCATAAGTAACCTTCATACAAAAGATGTGGCTCATCGCTTATTGCACGAATGCGCACAAGATTTCTGAGTGTATTCCACTATTCTCTTACGGGACTAGATCGACCTCTATGAGTCCTATTATTACATCAATAACAATTTAATAGGAACTGTCAGCGAGCATCCCTGCTGGACCCTACCGGTTTTTATAAATTCAGATATCAACTCACTATATGCCCTTACACGGCTCCGTGAACCTGAGTAGAGAGCTTTGATTAACGTTATGTACTTAGTCGATATTCCTTTTACAGACGGACTACCGCACCACCTCACGGTCGACAGTCAGGTTAAGAAATATGGCAAGTGTTGACCACTGTTAAGTATGCCTGTATATCATAACCTGTCGGAGGGTGAAAATTTCTCCCTCAGGCATCTGACGATTAAGTTGGGTTCGCAAGAGTGGTGCGTTACCACAGAGACCAACGGAAATCTGCTTGATGTCGTTCACATGCAGTATTTTTGCGATTTCGAGATTTGGTTTGTCTTTTGAATCCAGGTGTAAACCGATACCACTAGTACTAGAAACAGCAGGGTTGTAGGATGTGTATCTGTCGGCTCAAACGTTTCTTACTCTTAATTTCTATAGAGAAGGCAGTGTTAATATGACTACTTTGGTCATGCGTGAGAGATGCCTTACTTCTGTCGAACTCGCATCCAACCAGCAGTTGGACTTTTCCCGTAAACCATCCCTCCTTGCGTAGTATATTTCACCCTAACATTATCCGCCTAACCTTTATGGTATGGTAGGACCTGAAGAAATACAGTACACCAGCAGCATAGGTGGTTGGATCATTTTGATGTCCAAGCTGGACCACTACTTGGAATTAATAACTGCCAGTCAGGATACAGAACAGGGTTTGTGTTAGTGTTTATATAAGTAGTTTGTTAGTCAACTGAGCTGCTGACTTGTGGATGGAGATGGTTTCGACATTTTAAGAGCAGTGAACAGCTGCGAGTCCGTAATGTTTGTCGTGCAGTGTATATTTTTTGATGGATAGATGAGTTTTGTTGTGGATCCTATTCGATTTAGTTTCATGGTGAAAGTTATGATTTCCATTTCTAGATCACCAAGCTATCATTCTAGGTGTGCCAATTATGTGAGTTTAGTAACAGCATGTGAAAATTCACTTGTTGGTGTGCAAGAAATGAGATGTTAGTGAAATCAACCTGATAAGTTAGCAATGATAAGTGCTTCGTTGATAGTGTTTCACATCATTGAGCTTCTGATGGCAGTTGTGACTGACAGTGACAAAAAACCTAAGATGTGGCGTAACTGCTTATCAGCAGAAGTTCACACACTGTACATCAGGATGTCAACGTGAAGGTTAAAAAGAGAAAAAATGAAAACAGCATTTACATCCGTTTAAAATAAGAGATGAAAGGAATGATGTCTGGGGTTGATGATTAAATGGGCACGAAATGGTGTATCCATCCATATCGCTGCTGTAGATTTTGAAATGTCTTGTAGAGTCTCCAACCATTAATTTCAGCTGTCAGCTGATGAGTGAATGTCACGTTCAGCCCAACTTCGAGGCTCGCGCAGTTTCCACCGTCAGTAAGAGACTTCATGGATTTGTATATCACCCTTGGTTTCCTACCATTTTAAATCATACTTTTGCTGACGTTTTAAGTGAGGATCAACTTTATATTGACATAAGTAACACATATCTCTGCAACCGCAGTCTATGAAGTTTCATAATTACACCAAACTACCAAGTTATCTAGACGCCACATGCCAAGTAATTCACAATCGAAAGCTCAGCTCAGTGATGCTTTGAAGTGAAGACAGGGAGGAGTAAAACAAGGCTGTCTACTATCACCGATGATCTTCCTGATTGTAGTGGACTGGATCGTGCAACAAACAGTGAGGAGCGAGAAGAGGGGGATACGCTGGACGGGGAAGAGATCGTAGAAGATTTGGATTTCGCCGATGACTTGTGTCTAGTGTCACACAAACGTGAAGATCTACAGGCGAAAACTAACAAGTTGACAGAAGGGGTGAGGCAGCGAAGATGGGACTTCAAGTGAACGTATAGAAGACAGGTGATGAAGATACCCAACCGACAACAACAGCAGCAACAAGCTTCAATCACCATGAATGGGAGAAACTTGAAGGAAGTAGTCTCTTTCACCTATGTAGGCAGCACTGTTTCAACTACAGGCGGCGGTGACACAGACCAGGACGTCAAAGCAGTCAGGATGGGGAAAGCAAGACAGGCTTTCATTAGCCTGAGACCAGTGTGGAGATCTTCTGCACTCAGCATGTGGAACAAGATCCGGATTTCAACACCAAGGTCGAGTCAGTGCTTCTGTATGGCTCAGAGACTTGGCGCGTTACGAAAGGGATTTCCAACAAACTACAGACATTCATCAACAACTGCCTGCGCTCACTACTGAAGATCAGATGGCCAGAAAGAGTAAGCAACAAGGAACTCTGGAAATGAACTAACCAAGAACTTATCGCTAAACAAATATGCGCCAGGCCCTCCAGTGGAACCGGATGGGAAGCGACGAGTTGGGCGTCCGAGGATAACATGGAGGAGATCGTGCGAGGAAGAAATGAGAGCTTCTGGGTAGTCGTGGAGCCAGGTTCAAAAAATTTCAGAGAGCAGAGTGCACTGCAGACGTGCTACTGAAGCCCTATGCTCCATTAAGAACCCAAGGGACAAATAATAAAATGATAATACTACCAAGTTATGTATTGAAGCAAGGTGTAGTACATGCAGATGCCATCAGCTTTATTCTATAATATACCTGGATATAACCAATTCATCTTTTAATTTACCCTTAAGAAATGATCTAAGTAGATTGTTGACAGGTCATACGGATAACTCAAAGAATAAACACCTGAACCTCAGTTATAATCTCATAATTTTAAATAAGTGTGACAAGTTAATCTCTTTAATTTTTTCAAATTCATTTCCAACTATAGATAAGAAGGATAGGTCCGACCTCTTACATATATCATGTGACAGTTACCCAACATTTAGAAGAAAAGTTAATTTATTTGATTCTTATCACCGCAATTAAAAAGGAGTTTCGCTCAAAAGCTTTTTTTCTTTACCTTATTTGTCACCTTAATAACCATTAACTGAATTGTCTCCACCTATGACTGCTCGTTTGTTACAAACTGAGGGCAGTTATTCACAAACACTACCCATAAAATTTTAGGCAGATGACTAAAATACTTGTGAAAAAGTGGATCGAATATTATAACAGTTTACCAACGGAATGACGTTTTTGAATGATGAAGTCCTCAAGAGTTCTGTGTTATTGAAGCGAAATCGCTCGAATTTAGGCACTACTTCAAAGGGAATTCAACTGAATGAACAAACAGCCGACTTACGTTACTCTATTCATGATACCATGAACTCATCGTAAAACTGTTGTCAAAACGTACTCCTAGCGAAAAAAATTATAGAACGGTTTGTGTTTTTGTGATATAGTTGTCACTAGGTTGTGTACCAATTGCAAACAAAGCATCTCCTTAGACACTGTTCGATTCTTAGTTAAAATGTGTCAAAATGAATATGCTTTGTCTAGTCCGCTATTTGATTTATTAACAGACATCTGTAAATGATTTTTGAGTGAGACGTTTAAAATTTTGCAAGAAAAATGTACTGTCAACCACCATTAGATTAAATTCTCGATATTTTAATAAATTTAGGTTGTAAAGTTTCTGCCCACTAGGACTCCTTTATATCCTCTCAGTCATCTCAATTCCTTATGTGTTTAAGTTTAAAATTGAAGTTAGTTTTTATCATAGTGTCATTTTTCCATCGCGTAAAGTTTACTCAAAGAACTTTGAATTACGAAACCTTAATAAAAGAAATTGACTCCAACAATTCCTACTACAGATTTCCTTTAGTTTGTATTATTTAGTATCTATCATTTAATCGTATTCTTTAGTATAGTGAATTCTGTACACTGGAAGGTGAAATCATTTCACGGGTGATTCAATTTTGTACTTTAAGATGAAGTACTTTATACCAAAACGTTCATTAAAAAGACTAAGAAACCGAAATAATAAGTAAATATTCTTATCTTTTGTTTTATTTTCAGGCATAATTCATGCTTTAAAGCAGTTAATTAACAGTGGTTGGCTTAATAGTCGATGGAATTTGATTAGTATTGATTGCGATCATTTCGCATCCGAACCATGGGAAAAAATTTTGCATGCTGTTATCGTAATGCACAGTGTATACTTTCCTCCTTATTCGTATTCCTGAATTCAGAAAACGTCTTTTCGGATGTGAGTTATACAAACACGTGCACTGCATTTAGTATAAAGTTGAAAGAATTAATGTCTTATATATATACATTATTATTATTTGTTCTTTGGATTCCTAGTGGAACGTAGGTATTGAGTAGCACGTCGCCATTTCACTCTGTTCTCTGAAGTCTTTTCAACCTGGCTCCGTGACTGCTCACAAGCTTTCATTTCTTCCTCACACCATCTCCTCCATGTCACCCTCGTATACCCAACTCGTCGTTTCCCACTTGGATTCCACTCAAGGCCTGGCCTGGCGCGCGATATCTCCGAATGGTCTTCTCAGTGTCTGCCCAATCCAATCCATCTCTACTTTCTTCTGCACATTTGTTGGGCGATGGGTTCTTGGTTGGTTCGTTGCCACTCAGCCAGAGCTCCTTGTTGCTTATTCTTATTATTCTGGTCATCTGATCTTCGGTATCGAGTAAGCGTAGGTGGCAGCTGTTGATGAATATATGTAGTTTGTTGGAAATGCTTTTCGTGACGTGCCAAGTTTCTGAATCATATAGAATCACCGACCTGACGTTGATGTTGAAAATACGGATCTTGTTCTTGTTGCTGCGCACAGTGCAGTAGATCTCCACACTGATTTCAGGTTAATAAAGGGCTGTTTCACTGCTTTTCTGATTACGAATGTGACATCCTCATCCGTGTCGCTTGTATTTGAAACGATACTACCTAGGTAGGTGAAAGAGACAACTTCCTGTGGATTTCTGCCGTTGATAGTGATTGGTGCTTGTTGTTAATGCTGTTGTTCGTTGGGTATCTTCATCACCTCGTCTTCTCTACTTTCACCTGAAGTCCCGTCTTCGCTGTCTCTTCTGTCAACTTGTTAGTTTTTGCTTGTAGATCTTTGAATTTGTGTGACATGAGACATTGGACATAGATCATCGGCGAAAATATATATATATATATATATATATATATATATATATATATATATCACAACTTTCTGGAGACATATAAGAGGTACTTTTCTTTCCTGCGCATTTTGTGTGTTTTAAAAACCTTTTGAGCATATCCATAAGATATCTTTCTGAGTCATCATCTCATATTCAGTGTAATCAGACTAGTTTAGGTTTTACTATATTAAACTATGCTTTCAAACTGATTTTTAACTGCATGAGAACAAACCTCTTCAAGTGATGATAGTGTTTCGTCCATGGTGACTTTTTGTATGTGATCCCTTCTTTAGATTCGGCTGTCATTTTAAGTTGAGTATGCTTTCTTTATATTCTGCAATAAAGTTGCGTCGAACCCTTCGAAATGTGCGTTCACTTCGTCCCCGCTCACTGCTGTCAATGATTCTGAATATGAAAGAGAGAAACGAGTAAACCAAAAAGGATCTAAAGGGATAATGATAGTAATAATAATTGTTATGAAATATAAATGTAGTACAACATGAGCAGCAAGTTATGTGCCATAATAAATAAGAAGGTAACACAAAGAAAGAATTGAAACAAACATAAATAAATTATTGAGAAAGCAACCTAGAACATAGATACAAAGGATAATTCAGTAGTTTTTGTTTGGATTCCCGATGATAGGAAAAGTAAGAAAACTGTAGCATGATCACCGCTTGTTTCGATTGTGAACTGTCCGCTATTCTCTAAGGCGCTGTACTACATGAATTCTCGAACTCCCTCCAGGGAGTCGTGAGGCACTTACAGATGCTATCCCAACGCAACTGTCCTTCGTCTCACAGCACCACTTCACACCATCGCAAAGTCATCAAATGAATGGAACGAAAGATCGTTTACTTATGATTGGATATATTTGCATGATGCATAAGTAATGACAATCACAGTCTTTCAATCAGAGTAGGGATACTGCTACCACTATTTAAGAAACTGATTATCTCACTAACTCTTGTATTTGTAAATAGGTAACCAATCCCTAATTAACCAAGAAGTTTAATCTTATGGTAGGAAACAGCAACATTTCGGACACATTGGAACAAGTTGGAGACAGTATACTTCCCAAAGCATTTACGTGAACCCCAAGCCTACCACAAAATCACTGAAATGTTCTGTGAAAAACGATGTTTATTCTTGTAGATTCAGATTTTAGAGATATGCGTAAGACAATGTTCTCAACCAATTTAGCTCATTATTTCATTAGTGTACCCAAAACCAATCATCATGTCAATGTCGGTTGTGAATCTTAGCCTACAGTGGGTGGCTTAAACAATTGTTACACATGTCGACTTATCATCTGCCTTCACCAGAAATGCTGAAGTAGGATTGGGTTTGAAGAAAGCTGCAAACAACCGAACTAAAATAAAGCATTTGTAATTGAAGCCTCTAACTATTTGTTTGAGTGATATAAGGAAGCATAGACTGCCTGTCTGCAGTCATGATAACGTTGGGAGCCAACAACTGAAATAGTTCTCGGTGATTTGTTTCAAAACTGAACACAATAACCTGGGTGCGTTTACTCTTTATCATTGAAATTTTGAACGCTTTCAGTAATTTATTCTGGCTACTCTCGTACAATTTTTATTTATCTTAATCACAGGAAAACCAAGTGATTTGTGTAGATGATCCATTTGCAAGTATTTCAGACTGTAAATTTAGTTATCCAACAGAGAACAGTTCCGAGCAATATTTGTGAGTCTATTGATCAAATGTTAGGTTTTGAAGACTAATGTCAGAGCTCATGAACTGCCGATCAGTGAGGTTAAATATTCAACACCTGTCATAGACAAGGGGAAATTCAAACTATAACATTAGGTATGTTCACCACTTAGACTGCATCCTATCTTCATATTCTTGATCCCATTTGTACGTTTAAAAAGTTACCATATCATTCATTTTGCGTTTGTAGCCTTATCAGCTATGCCATCTATATGGAAATTGCAGGCACTTTTAGAATCGGCTTGGTCTCTTGGTTTCGATCCGCTTGGAGCATCTCAGATATCATCAACAATCAATTCAAATAAGATTTCATCTGGTTCTACTGGTTCTGGTGTTGTTAGTATCCCTGCAGATGGTCGTAATTTAATTGGTTTAGTGGATAGCACTGCATGTTTAGGTGCCACAGATATGGTTTCTCTTTTGGATCAATAGGTGTACGCTCTTCAATTATAGAATGCCGTGCTCCTTCTGGGCCTGGTGGAACCCATCCGTAGTGAGTGTATTTCTTTTTCTTTTTAAATGCATGATCGGTAACTCCATCTAGTAATAGAGTAACTAGGCTGAAAGCTCTTGTTAATTAAAACGAAATTTGTATATGTTTGTGGCTAGAAATAATGCTTCGGAATGATCTGAGTTATCATCATCATCAGTATCAATATAGGACCCAGGCTTTACTGCATAACGGTCCGCGTTGCCACAGCTCATATCAGTACATCAGGTAAAAAGGCAGTGAGGCGCAAGGTGAAGATAAGAGAATGCAGTCAAAAGAAATATTAAGTACAATAAGAAAGAAAAGACGAAAGATAAAATGGTGAGATTAGTTATAGCGTCGTTAAGATGAGGATAATGTATGTATACATCTGCGCCAGTGATATCGGTTCTCAGCCATATCATCTAGAGTCTCCAACCGCTGGTTCCCCTTGTCCCGCGGATCCCAACCGACCAGTCCGCATTATCCTACATGGCTCAAACTAACAGTCAAGGACTTCATACATTGGTGCCATGTTTTAGTTTGGCCACCTCGGGCCTTTTCCCAGCCTGGACCTACTTCGGCCGACATTGTATGATGAGGCAATCGGCGACTAGGCATATGTAATGCGTGTCCCAACCATCTCAGTCGATGAAGGTTTATAACCTTGTCAACAGACTTACCTCTACTCCCTAAGACTCTATACCTGACGTCTGCGTTACTCACGTGGTGACACCACGGAATACGGCTTATGCTACGAAGGCAACGGGGAACAGATACTTGAAGCCTTCCCATGTCTTCCACTTTCAATGGCCATGTTTCGCAGCGTTGCAGTAGAACACAGGGTGTACTGCTGTGCAGTACACGCAACCCTTAATACACAATAGGATATCACGGCGGCGCCATAGGTGGCGTAAGTTGGCAAAAGCTAGTCAAGCCTTTTGTATCCGTGCAGAGATTTCATCGGCAACTGACCCACCAGGGCAGGGCTGATCCTACTTGCCAGGTAAGTGAAGTAGTCGACGCACTCAACCACTACACTCTCTATTGTTATCCGAGGCACCGTTGAAGACCAATCCTGGAGCAACAATTTGCATTTAGGTGACGAGAAGCGCATCCCAAACATTCTCAAATTGCCACTCAAAGTGTTCAGAAGACTCTGCATTTTGTCAGCGTCTTCACCTAACAGGACTATGTCATCTGCATATTCTAGGTCTAATGAAAATTCTCCTGCTTAGATTAGGTCAACGTTTGTGGAGTCGGGTGACGAGAGGGAGACCTCCATGAGAATATCTGTGATGAAATTGAATAAGAATGGAGAGAGTGGGGACTCTTGACGGACACCACTCGATGAGCATAGCTCCCTGGACAACTCACCATAGGCTCTAACACGCCCACAGGTGTTCGAGTAGAGAGCCTTCAATAAGGTGATATACTTACTCGTCACGCCTTTCAGTGAGAGGCATTGCCACAAGACTTCTCGATCAACGGAGTCAAATGCGGCCGCCTTCAGGTCGAGAAATACTGCTATTGTCGGGCGTCTGTAAGCGTGTGTATGTTCCAGTACCTAGTGCAGTGTGAATATTTGGTTGATACACCCGGGGACGGGTCTAAAGCCTGCCTGCCTGATTTTCTCGGGCTTGTTGTTCCCGAGCTCCACTCAGGCGTCGGAGAATTATAGAAGTTAGGATATTGGACACTATGTTCATCAGGCTGATTCCTCTGTGGTTATCACAAGAGGACTTCTCGCCTTTCTTAAAGACTGGGATAATCGGTGATTCACATCAGTCAGAGCGGATCGTATTTGACTTCCATATACTGGTTAACACTTCCGTTAACTTGACTAAGAGCACCTTACCACCATCCTTGTATACCTCTGGAGTTAGTCCGTCTGGTCATGCTGCCCTTCCTCGTTTCAGGTTTCCTACCACTTTTTCGACTTCTGTTAGTGTTGGGTGGCGTATCTCAATGTTCCATTGAGGATCCGACTGAATAGCGGGTAACGTAATTGTGGTTGGAGGCCAGTTAAACTGCTCCTCGAAGTGTTCTGCTCATCGTTCCAGTCGTCTCCCCTGCAAGTGAATTGCAGATCCGTCCTTTTGCGCTACAGCCTTACTAACTGTTTTTGACCTTTTACCCCCAGTTTTCCTAATAAGTCTAAATAACTGTCTAGTATTACCGATCGCCGCTGCCTTTTTGGCCTCTTTGGCCTTCGTTGCCCACCACTGTTCGCGGTCTTTGCGTAGACTTTTTCTCGGTCTGCTTTTTAGTTGCCCTTGCTCTTCATTGTACTCAGAGCCTGCAGTGATGCGTTCACGTGCATCCATTAGTTCGGAAGAAGCTGCTGATATCCACTGGCTCTTTTTAGCCACTATTTTGGAGTCCGCTATGGTCTTCAGCTCTGCTTTTACAGCAGACTGAAGATGGCACCAAGCTTCTTCTGGATTAGTGACAGTCTTTTGTTCCGATAACTGTCTAGCCAACTTCTCACTGAACACGGATTAGGTGTCTTCGTTGTCCAGCAGCACTCGTAGTGGTTTTGTTGCCAAATTTTTCCTACGTCCATTGAGACGCAGGCATATACGCACTCGGACCAACGCATGGTCGCTATCCAAACACGTACTCCAGAAGGAGCGGCAGTCTTCCACCGATCCTCTCCACCGATGACTAATAGCAATGTGGTCTATCTATGTCCATCGCTGAGTTGAGCTCGGTGGATGCCACGTCAGACAGTGTCATTCTTTATGTCTGGAATTTGTGCTGGCTAAAAATAGGCGGTTATCTGAGCATAGTTGTAGTAAGCGATCACCGTTATCTGTACGTTCAGCCGGGATTCCGAAAGTGCCACCTAAGTGCCTTTCTACCTCACTCAGTCTACCCACTTGTGCATTGAAGTCACCTGCAACAACCACCACGTCTCAACGTTTGGCTTTCGAAAGGAGGCTAGACAGTTTTCGGTAGAACTCGTCCTTCACTTCATCCGCGCTGCATTTAGTGGGTGCGTAAGCAGAGATTACAAAGAGACAACGGCGAGTCTCACTATTCCTTTTAGTTCTCACTGTGCCGTTCAGTCGGATAGCGCAGAGGTGACTATCAACTGGGATCCAGTTTAGTAGTGAGTTTTGTGCCCTAGTGTTTAATGCTATGCCCACACCTGCAAGACCACGAGAGCTAGCTAACGAATCTCTAGAAACTCAAAGGGTGAATTTCGCGGACTCACCAGATTGGCCGGGATAGGTCAGGTGAATGAATGACCGCACTTGAGTCCTGCATGCGTGTCTCACAAACACAGCACACATCCATGGCCCGAGTTGCTAGAGTCTTTGTCAACGAAGCCCGTTGACCGATTTGACGGAGGGTGCGGACATTGAAGGCTCCAATATGTAATTTGGAATGTGGTTTAAGGAGACCAAGTATGCTGTTTTGTGGACTCAGATCGTTGGCAAAAGCTACAGAGCTAGGAGAAATTGAAGATGATGCAGAATCGTTAGTTGAGAGACATGAAGGAATATTAGAAGGTAATGATGGGGGAGGTGGATAGCAGTCTGAAGAAACTTGAGTGCTGATAGAGTTGAGAGGGTGGTTGACACTTCCTGGCTGCCCACGCCGTGGAAGGCTATTTCTTCTTAAGGTGCCTGAAAGAGATTTGTGTGACCGCAGAGCCCATGGGACATCTGTTTGAGGCCTGTCATACGCAGCCTTTTGTGTATGATTATTTTGAACTTTTGTTGTTTTGGGGCCGGATGGTCGGAAAGAAATGACAAATGAACCAACACTGCCGGCCTGGTGGACCATGGGGTATTTCGGAGTATGTTATTTTGGGGGCCGACCTTTTCTAACTCCCCCTTCCACTGAGAAGGCAGCATCAACATGGCACTGCTGGTCATCCAAGGGAAACACCTTAATGCTGTCACACCCCATCCAGCTAGCAGCAGTACGATTTCGCCCTCAGACCCCCATCATAGTGTAGTAATTTACACCACAACGGTAACTGCTTTTCGTCTAACCACTATCCAACAGACCTTCCTGGTATGGTAGGACCTCGAGGGAACAAGTGTTCCACCAGCGTAGCTCGTTGGGTCATTGTCGTATGCAAGCCAGACCACCACGTCAAGGTAGCAGCTATCAGTCGGGCTTGAAACCAGTAGACAAGCAGCCTTCTTTCATAAGTCGAAAGTCTCCTTGTTCATTCTCCTTTGCATGCTATTTTTTGTGAAATATCTTCAGACATCTGTCTTCAGTCAACAAGTTCGGAAATAGATACTCTTCTCATCACGTTTACAGTTGACTGAAATGCATCTATTGATGCGTAATAACTCTGTGCATGCTATCAGGACTAACTGAAAACGGTGTATCTATTGGCAGACTATGAACCACGCACAACAGATTGGAAGTGCTGATATACTGTTTCTAGGTGTTACATAATTCTTAACTGAAAGCGAACTGAATTATTATTAATCTAGAAGAGGTGTTTTCAGTAATGTCTCTTTTAAATTGTAAGTGCAAATGAACTCAGAAGTGAGCGCCATAAGGGTGTATTGATTGGTTGCTGGATGGTGACCAGTTTCATGTTGTCTAGTCCTACAAGCAATCAGTCGCGGGCCGAATAGCTCAGTGGTAACGTCGCTGGCTACAACACTGGACGGCCTGGGTTCGAGTCTCAGGCAGGACATAAGTTCCGTCGGGGTTCCAGATGCGCTCTGCTGATGAGTGCCGACAAGCACGAAACCTAGGGCGTTGTGTCGATTGCCTCCAACCAACTGACGTTAAGGGTAGACGGAAGGTCTATCAGCATGAAGGAAACTCGTGCGAGGAATTTGCAAACTACACTGAAAGGGATTTAATGATTACTGTTATATGGCATCATTATCTATTTGATGAAGGTTCGAAAACCTGCAGTGAACATCATCACCTGTATCGTTTGATTTGAAGTCAACAGAAAGTACAAGTGGATACTTAAAATACTTCTAGCGGTAACTGAATTCCCCAAGATTCTGACTACAGTAATGAACCACTACAGCAGT